CCGTGTAATAATATGTTACATCTATATCATTTTCATTTTTGTTTTAGAATTTCTTCTTTATAGCTTGTAAGCCATTTTTATTGCTAGGCTTTTGAATAATGAAAATGCGTGACACATTTTTCTGGTTGAGAAGAGAATTAAAAAAATTACAGTTAGCTTTTTCTAATGTTGCTTTTAGGTTTAAGTTTATGTTTTGGTCTATATAAGGTTTCATCTTCTTTTACATTTATAATATTATAATTTCATGTGCATTCAAATATTTTCTTTTATGCTCTTCTTTTCTTATCCTTGCATCTTTATAAACTTTGATGAAGTAAAGATGAAAATGTTTTTATTTATTTGTTTATTGGGTTCTTTTCTGTCTTATTAAGGTGTTATGTATTGAAACTCTGAATAAGTGCATGTTTGATTTGTGTTTGAATATTGTTTGGTTTTTTTGACAGCTCGTTAGTCCTGGTGCATGGTTGTGCGATCTTACCTTGGAACGATATGAGGTTAGGGAGAAGAAAATATCCAAAAAGGTAAATGGAATGGGAAAAAAGAGGAAGATCCCATTTCTGTAATTATGAGAAGACGATATTTTTGTGGCACATAAATAAAGAAATATAATTTATTTTGATGCAGAGACCAAGAGGTTTGAAAGCAATGGGAAACATGGAGTCTGACTCTGAGTAGAGAGAAAAGTTAATGAGACTATGAATGTTGAGAAGTGAAGATGCTAAGCTTTATGTTTGGTAAGGATGTAGGAAATGCATGGATTTTGTAAAGCATGGCATAACATCAAAGCTGGATGCCAACTCATCGAAATCAAAATATTAAATATTTTAGCTTTGCGCTCCTTGCCTTCTTTACCTTTCTTTCCTAGTCTGGAAAACTGCTTCGAAATTGCAAATGACTAGGTGTCCTCAAAGAGAGGCATTTTCACTAACACAATGTGTCTCACAACACCTTTGACAACATTTCCTATTATTCATTTTATCACACAAATTCTCATTTACGCTCTCATTTTTTATAACAATTTTAACTTAAAATAATATCACTCTTTTAGCCATGGGGTTCTCACAATACATTTGTTCGTGTTCTTTAGCAATGAACATTTTGAAAAAGAGCATCTTCTAGAAGGCTGTGATAATAAGTAAATGATTCTTAATCTTTTTAAATAATGGGATCATGTGTCAAAGGAATTTGTTTGGTCTTGGTATGATGATGTGTTATCTTTGTTTTTTCCTTTTAAGTTTTTAGTTTTCGAATTTGATTCACTATTCTTTTCTTTTCCCATGGTTTCTTTCTATCCGAAATCTCAAGCAATTGCTCTTAAAAAACTTTGTTGTGAAGATAGTTTTGCTTAAAGGCAAAATATGGGTATACAAATAAAAAGTGGAGTTAAAATTATCGATTGCCAATATTGATAAGTATTGATAGGCTAAACTATCACTTTAGGAATTGAAGGGGATTATTTTTTCATACATTTTTTGAAAGTTTCAAAATATTAGATTCAAATTCCCTTTTCCAATCTGAAATTAAATATAAATCCTTATATTATTTTTTTGTACTTTAAAACTCATCTCTATAAATTTTGTATTTTATGTTTTGGTTTCATTTTAAGTATTTTAGTAATTTTAATTAATTACTCTCTTTTAAAGTAATGTAATTAATAAATTTTTTAACACTATTGAATTTCAATCTAAATTTTAACAAATGAAGTGTTGATATTTGCTATGGAAGATGTCTATGGGTGTAGGGTGTGGAGTGAGTCAATTTGGCTCTCAATTAAAAATGTATTAGTTCAATTTTATTTAATTTTTGGTGAATTAGAGATTTTATAATCTTATATTATGGTTGATAGTTTAGTGGATTGACTTAAGATTATTTTATTTTTCTAAATTATTTTATATATATTAAGAAAGACTATGAAAGTGATTGATCCAACTTTATTTATTTTATAATAATACAATTAACGTTCACCTATTCCATCAATTATAATAATAATAATTAAAAATTAAAGTGTTAATTTAATAAATAAATAATGTAAACATTATTATCAATATTATAATATATTTAAAAATATCAAATTATCACTACATAAATAATTATAATAAAAAAACTTATAAAAAATTAATAAAATATTAGTATGAGTTATGGACTAATCTATTTTTAATCTGACTCAAATTATTTAACCTCCAAATTAAGTAAATTTAATTTAATTTAATTTAATTGGTCATAAAAAAAATATAGTTACGTAAAACTGTAATAACTCAAATGTTAGAACGCGGAGTGTGAGGGTAATTACCTCATGTTGAGGTGGGAACCACTTTTGGAGTTATACCAATGTTGTTTAATTGTTTAATACCATTTTTATGGCAAAACTGTGCCATGTAGTTGTTGCGGGTCCAACCATCCTAACATATTTTTATTTGAAAATAAACGAGGATACAAAAGTTATAAACTAAAATAAGAATAAATTTGAAAAAAAATATATACAATATCAATCTCCCCAAAATTAATAATTAATAGAAGAATTAAAATTGTTTTAGAATAAACTCTCACATTTGAGGTTAAATATATTTTTGAAAATTTAAGAGAATAAAATAATTTAATTAAATTTGGAAGAGCAAATCCAAATTTATAATAAACCAAAAATGCAACTAAATTTAACTTTAATTTATATTTGGAGAATGTATTTTTGGACTATCTCAGTGGGAAGACTCTGATTTGCTTAACTTGAATTTTTATATGTTTTAAAATTCATGATAATTATTTAAAAAATAAATAAAATAACATAACTATGTTGTTATTTTTAAATAAAAAAATAGTCTGTTCTCTATAATATCTATAATAGAAAATTATTAAATATAATTTGATATTATTGAAACAAAATCTAATTATGATTTATGAACATCACAAATATTACTTATATATATTTTTCTCCTTAGAAAAAAAAAGTATTAATACGATAAGTAGATTTTCACCAAACATAAAATTTTAATAATGTTATTGTAGGAGTAACATGAGTTGGTATGACATTTAAAGCACTACTTAAATTTAGGTTATGTGTAAACACACGTGAACCAAGCATAACAACTTAATTGACAAACTTCTATTTTCTATAGAAATTATTATTCTTGGCCCCACAAACATATACTCTGTTTTCTTGAATTATAAGTTTCTAACTAGGACAACAAAAATGTCTTTATCAATCCTCCATGAAATTTCGTACCCTGAATTTGTGTCCAATCTCTCTTTTTCTCTGTTTCAAAACTATGACAACTTAATTTATAGTAAACTCAATTCCTATTCCAATTCAAAATGTATTATTTCTTTGTAAATTTTAATTTTTGAACTTAAAGGACCTTAAAATGGAAACCCAAATGGATGTCTAAATATAATTATTTTATATCTTCTTTTAATATCGGCATGCTGCTACCGAAGTCATTATCAAAATTAAAGAATGGCCTCAGACTATAGATAGCATCATCTATTGATATGATCACCTGAATTAACAGAAAAACTAAAAAAAAAACAGTATAATTAATAAAAAAAAAACACTAGAAAGAAGCACAACCTTGAAAAGAAAAGAAATTGATTATGTACCGAAACAAATATCACAAATAATAATACTCAAGAAATGGCAAAATAACTAAAGATACAGAAATGAACAGATGAAATCTCTGAACATCAACACATGGAGAGCTATATACTACTAGGCAAGCCTCGATCTCTGGTAAATCCACACAAAAAATAGAGAAATTGAAAATCTCAAGGAGGAAGCTCCGCATGTTCAGATCCTGTGAGAAGATCCGAAGACGAGAGCAACCGCGGCGGCTAGAAAACCCACGACGAAGGAGGGAGAGATGACGGAAGCGGGAGAGGTAGGACTAGGCGCCGGCGCATCAGCAGCGTAAGCGGCGGAGACGATGGCAAGAAGGACCGCCACTGTGGTGATGGTTAGAACTTGAGAAGAAGCCATTGTTTATCAGTGATTTAGGGTTTTGATAGAAGCAGTGTGGGAGAGAAAACAATGAGTATGAAGTGAAGAAGGTGAAGGAGTGTTTATATAGAAGGGAAATGAGAAGAGAAAAGAAGGGTATTTTGGGAATGCAGAGAAATTTACAGAGTGGCAATATAATTTGAGTGGGTGTTGTGCTGTTCCAGCTGGTTCTGCTGTCAAAGTTAGGCAAATCTGTTTTCTCTTCTTCTGTCTTTTTAACAATTTTCATTACTATATTATATTTTCTCCATTAATTAACTAATTAACCAATAAAAATAAACTAATAAAACATTAAGTGGATCCTGAAACTGCATGATTTCTGCAGGAGAATCTCTCCCCACCAAACACAACAATAATTCTTCTACCTAATAAAAATATTTTCTTCAAATCATTGTTATTATTTTAAAATATTAATAAATTAATTCTTCCAAATAGACTTACCATGGTTTACCATCGTAGAAATGAATACATAAATTTATTTTTATGTAGCATAGTGTTAGTCTAATCTTAATATGCATTATCATCAATTGTAATATACTTTTCTTTTTCATATATGCCTTCATGCCAAAAAAAAAACTCCATTTTTGTTATTAAGTACTTTGTGCAATACCTTGTATTGTTTTTTTTTAAAATGGACTTTTCTCCACAAATTCCAAAAAGACAATAGTAGAAAACATAATAATATCAAATGACATCTATGGCTATTTAAACATTAAACTCAAATATAACCGGGAAACACTTAAAATAGACATTGTTAATCTAATCTAAACACACATAATCGAGTACAAGGTATGGACAATGTATTACCTAATATAACATACATATAATATGTTCTTTATTACAGAAGATACATAATGTGTGATTGATTATTAAGACTTATAAAATATTTCATCAATATTTTAAAATTTATTTATTTATATATTATTAACCAAAACAATTTATTCAATATTTTTAAGTCAGTATGAAAGAAGAATATTGTTACCTCCAAGTTAAATATTTAATCTAAGACTAAAAAAAAATATCATTAACTTCTTAACAAAACTGTAAAGAGGAAAACAAAATATATTTATAAAGCGAGAAGAAAAACAAAATGTGAGTATTACCAAAAGGTTATTATGAATACCTAAATATAACATTGGTTCAAAAGTGAGAAGTAAATAAATTATACTTAAATAAAATTATTTCTTCGCATGAAACACAATTAATCTGTTTTACGAACTTGATCTGTGACAAAGCAATAAAATATACAATTAAAATGGGAACATCTTTACTTGAAATAAGTGAATTGTTAAAGTATGTTTAACGAATTGAAAACTTATAAAAAATTTGATAGGACATTCTTACATATATATATATATATATATATATATATATATATATACATATTTTTAATAATAAATAAATAGCTTAAATATTATTTTAATTTTTATTTTTGTTCACTTATGTATTAATATTTTATATTTAACTCAATCACAAATTTCTGTTAATTTTGTTTAATTTAGGTTCAATATTATTTTTTTTTTAATTTTCTTCAATTCAAGTTCAATTTTGTCACTATTTAAATTGAGATTAAATTTTTTTTTAAATTCATATTTTTATTAAATATTTGTTTCATTATTTTTAAACTAATTATCTATATTATTGGAATATAATTATTAAATGTATGCTTGATTTTTTATATATAAAAAGTAGGGTTATAATTGGTTTAAAAATAATGAAGAATTTTATTTTAAATTTTTTTAAAATAAGAAATAATTTTCCTTCTAGCTTTAAAAGTAAATTGGAATTTTTCCTCAAATTTTAGAAATAAATTAGAATTTTTCTTGTAACTCTAAAATTAAGAATTTTCCTTATAATTTTTAAAATAATAAATAATTTTGCTTCTAATTCTAAAAACAATGAAAAAAATTTATTCTAATTTTAAAATTAATAAATAATTTTCCTTTTAATTTTAAAAATAAATTAAAAAATTTCTTCTAACTTTAATAGATAAGAAATTTTCTTCCAAT